TCAAATTGTGTGTTGAATTCCCCCTAAAAGTGGTCTTAGGGTTGTATTTATATCATCATGAAATCTTGGACGGGTTGGAGTTGTATTGGGCCAAGAAAAAGTCCAAAAAATTCAAAAACTTATTTCTCGCACAGCGGCACCTCGGCGCCCATGATTCTGCTGATTTTCAGCGACGGTGGCACTGAGGCGCCCATTTTTTTTGCTGGAAATTCAGTAGTGCGTATCTTTCAGTATTTTTATCATAACGTTTTCTCCCGATGTTCGATTGAGGTGATTTAAGATGTGTTGGAAAGATAACGCAAAGAGATAAAACTTTACTTTAGATATCATTTTCCAATTCAAACATTTGCTATGTCAAATATGAGTCTCAATATGAGACTACAAATTTGGAGCATAACTTTTTCGGTTGGAAAATGATGTGTNTTTTTTTTTTAATAAAACAGTACTAACAATTAAGAAGCTTGGAATCAATTTCTTCAAAATAGAAAGACAAATAAAATTATTTAAACTCCAATATGTCGTTTTTTATAGCTGAGAAAAAAATTGGTACAGTACCCCAAAACTACCTTTTTTATATAGTAGTGATCTATCCAAAAAAAAAATTTTTTTTTTTTTTTATATAGCAGTGAAAATTGGAAGACCGAATGAGTGAAAACAGGAAAAATAAACAGTAACATCTCATTGATTACTATTGCATCTACAGTAACTGAAAAGTGCCCTTTTTAATATAGTTGGAAAAGTTGGTATAGTTTTTAATTATTTATTATTTGTTAAAACATTAAAAGGAGTGAATGTGAAAGGAATCGAACCCTGTCCATCTCATTTGAGTGCTCTACCATTTGAGTTACACGAGTTAATACCCTAAATAGTCACCGAACTTTGCCAAAAATTCCCATGAGGTCACCGAATTTCAAAACTTTCCTAATTAGTCACTGAACTTTGCAAAAAGTTCATACGAGGTCACTGAACTTTGCTAAAACTTCCTAGGAGGTCACCGAACTTTGCAAATTGTGACCCCATACATCAATGATTTAGTGACCCCCTAGGATTTTTTTGCAAAGTTGAGTGACTAATTAGGGTAGTTTTGGAAAAGTTCAGTGACTATTTAGGATAGTTTCGAAATTCAGTGACCTCTTAGGAACTTTTTGCGAAATTCAGTGACTAATTAGGGAAGTTTTGAAATTCAGTGACCTCCTGAAAACTTTTAGCAAAGTTTAATGACTATTTAGGGTATTAACCAAATAAATAAAAAATAAAAAGAAACAAATAAATGGGGCGATAAATGGGGCAGGGGACCTATCCTACCCCGAACCCTCCCGCCCCATCCAGTCCCGTCCCGCCTCGCTTTAAACGAGTATATGAATGGGGTAAAGTAACAAAAATATCCAATGGGATGGGATGGGAATGATCTATCCGTTAGATACACGCCTCGTTGCCATCCCTAGGTGGTGGTGATCATGACATTAGTGTGAAAGATGGTAGTGTAACAATAAGTGTTGGTTGTGTACAATGAATGTTAGCATCGACGACAATGACAATGAAAATATGCAGAAAAAAAGTGTGTAACATGCATTGTGTTATAGATGATAGCCCAAAAATAACTAACCAAGAGTGGGGGTAAATTGACTTTCAATTTTATTTTTTTTTGAAAAATTGATTCAAATTCAAGCAAGTTGGGAATGAATAAGTCAATCAAACAAAATACAGAAATACGAAAGCGATAAGTAAAAGGGAATATAGATTGCAAACAATATAATTGTGGAGGTTCGATCCCAATCATTGATCTAGTCCTCTGTTATGAATAAAGTCTTTTCACTATATTGATTGACTTATGGTATAATCCAAGCACTTACAATGCTTTCGGTGACTTATAAATAAGGAGTATCGATCCTTTTACAAGTTTGAGCTCTACAGGACCTCAATACGACCCAAATTATTGAGCTTTCAAAGAACCTTAATATGACCCACAAATATAAAGAATGTTTTTACAATTTGAACATTTCTAATAATAAATGATACAAATGAATTGGTTTTAAGAGAGTCTAATATTTTAATGAATTGCAATAAATGAAACTCAAGTGTTAGATGAGAAAATTTTGATGAGAAAGATGATGTTCAAAAGTTGATTCAATTAATCAATCAAAAATTTTCAAAATAAATGTTTGATGAATTAAATAAGATGCAAGTTCAAAGAGTTTTGCTTAAATTTTTTTATTTTAATACTCTTAAAGAATGATCTAAATAATGAAAATAGTGAGGATAATTATAGAGTTCAAAAAGCAAAATTTTATGACAGTTCGGAAGAATGTCGGTTGCCCGTCTCATGTTCGAAAGATCAATATAACCGTTGTACAACAGAAATTCAGAAAGGTCAAATGTTGAACTGTTGGACCTTTCCCGTCAACCACCATTGGTTGATTGTCGATCAACCGCCTCAGCAAACTTGGTCAATTTTCACATTTTGGACCTGTTTGATCCGTTTTGAATGTTTTGACAAATGTAGAATTTTGACAGTATTTTGAAACGAGTTTTCAAGATAAACGATGTTTTAAATATATGATCTAAGCATAAGCATCATTTTGAAAATCAATTGTACCTTTGATCAAAACATTTTATCAAAATAACTTTGAATGCATAAAAAAGTTTCGAACCTAAAACATTTATTGCTAAATATTAAAGTGTTAATATCTTTACATTTGATCTAAAAATGCCAGTTCTTGATATTTCCATAGCTCTTTAGGCTTTCGTCTTGAAAGATCTTTTTTTGAATGTTTGGAAGACTTTTACTTCAATATTGGCCTTCTTTGTGAATCCGATTTGTGATAATAACATTTGAACTTTTGATGACCATTGATCAATTTCTCATAATATGTCTCGAAAAATTATACTCACTTTAATTTAATTTGTTAGTAAACAATATTAATTTGTTTGTTATAATCAAAACTTTAAGATTATAATCAAGAGGAAATTACAGCCAGCCCTACATTTAGATTACCATTTTCATAAATCACATATCAAGTTTAACTTTTCAAAAATCAGGTTTTTATATTTAATTTAATATTAATTATATTTTTTTCATTCCAATTAAATTAAATTAAACCAACCCTCCCTAAAATTCAGTCATACGCCGTTCTCACCTCCAGCCCAAACGCCCTTTTCTCCTCCTGCCACCGCCGTTCTCTCTCCTCCTGCCCACCGACCGCCATTCTCTCCTCTGACCACCGACCGCCGTTCTATCCTCCCCGTCTCTGTCAACAGGTATCTCTTTCTCTCTCTAATTTCTTCTCCCTCTCCACTCCAGATCTGGTGTTTTGTTTTAGGGATCGACGGTTTGAATGTGATTTTTCCAGATATGGTGTTTTGTTTTCCAGCAGCGTCGCCCGCCCTTTTTTCTCTGTTGATGTCGCTTCTGTTCACGTCCACCGGTCGGAGATCTCGCGACGCGAACTGCAGCAGCGGCGTCGCGACGCTGCTGCTGTTCGCGTCGCGCCGTTCGCAGATCTCGCAGCAGCGACGTCAGAGACGCTGCTGACGTTGCTGCTGCGTTTCGCGACGCCGAAGGTAAATTCCGGTGCATTTCGAAACGGCGGTGGCATTGTAGTTTTTTCACAGACCCGCTGTAGTTATTTGTAGATTTTGATATTTTTGTGCACAGATCTGTTGATAGCCATCCGGCGGCGGCGGCGGCGGCGGCTTTGTGTGGTTGGATGCGACGGTGGTGGTAGTGCGTTTGTGTGGTGGTAGTGGTGCTTTGTGCGGGGTATTGGTTGTTTCGACGGTGGTGTTGGTACTGGTTGCCGGTGAGATGGTGGCGGTTTTGTGCCGGTGAGGTTGTGGAGGTTTTGGTGCGGGGGCTGCGACGGTAGTGGTTATTGTTGGTGGTCTGTGACCAAGTATTTGGTTATCTGTGACCAAATATTTAATTGTGACCTAAAATCTTGACTATGTGACCTAAAAATTATTAATCTGTGACCTAAAAATTATTAATTGTGACCAATAAATTGATAAATTGTGACCTAAATAAGTATTGTGACTTATAAAATTTGTGATTTGTGACCGATTAATAAATTGTGACTTTTAAATTTTGAAGTTGTGACCGATGAACGTATTGTGACCTACGAAAATTTTGATTTGTGACCTAAAAAATTTTGAATTGTGACCAAGTTGTATCGATCTGTGACCTTAACATATTCGCCGGAATCGGAAAAGTCGCCGGAAAAGTCATCGGAACGGTCGCCGGAAAAGAGTGGTGACCGGAACGGTTGCCGGAATAGTCCCGGAGTTATAGGGGTGGTGGAGGTGGGGGTGGGTTAATTATTTTATAGTTGAATTAAATATTAATTATAAATTAATTTAATAATTATTATTTCATAATTAAAATTTAAAAGTAACCTGATTTTTGAAATTTAGAACATGTTTTCGGCATTTTTGAAATGTGTAAAAGTAAACACCTTATTTATGTATTCTTCCCTATAATCAATCATAGATCAACAACAAACTTACAAGTGGCGGTGATGGTGAAAATATGTGGTGAAATGTGTGTAATATAATCTATAACACACTGTTACAAAATTTATTATAAAAAATAAAATAAAAATTATTAAAATTATTATTTTTTTAAATAAAAAAGATTTAAAAGTAAGTCTGAAATTAATTTTTTAATGTATTTATGAATTTGTCTAATAATTATTGCTTCACCATTTTTTTTTTTTGCAAAATAATAAAGGAAAACATCGACAGAAATAACACTAAAATGGACATATAACGATTTTTCACACTAAAATAGAATTTGTTTTGACAAGATTCTTCTCTCTCAAATTTTGTGCTCATAATTCTCCAAAAGGTGATTTCATTGGAATAAGATTACTACTAACTTCGATATGCTCTTTACTTATGCATTAAAATTAATTATCCCACAACCTCAACCAATAAGGCACAATTATGAAGATTTGAATGACATGCACACTCTTTACATCCACATTCATAAACAAAGTGAAAAATTAAGCCAAAAGCCAGAAATTCTTGTGACTTCTAGTAGTAATCAAATATCCTCCATATTTCTTGTTCTTCCTTCTCACTGCAATTGTCATGCAATTAGCATTTTGAATGCAGTAATCCTCGACCTTATTTTTCTTTATCGACCAAAATCTCTGTAATCTCCAAATTATTGATCGTTTTCGCTGTCCCAAAACCAGTAGAGAAACCCGTCTATGCTTAGCTTCTTCGACTATTATTTCTCCCTTTTCCTTGCCTTCTCGAATTGCCATCTCCACGTCCACCTAATTCATCATAGAATAAATTAAATCACAAGGATGAGACTTGGTTTTTGTGTTTTTTTTTTACTGAAAAATAATATATGTAAAAGATTAATTTGAAAAGATTGTCATACAAAATTTTTTATAGAAAGAAACAAAATAAAATTAATATATATTTTTCATAGAATGAAGAAGATAATTTACTCACCTCAGGTCTTCTTAATTCACATATATTTTTCATAGAATGAAGAAGTTCATATGCCTTTTGATTAACATCTCCATCATAATTTTCATCTGTAAAAAAAAACTTTCATCGTAAAATTGAAAAATTTGCTGTTACGATCTCCAAACTATGCCCCTCGATCGGACCACTTGGTCGGTCTCCGAGGGGTAATTTGGGAACCGTGACTAAAGTTTCCCGAGGTTTTTCCCGATCGAGAAAATATTTCAAAAAAAATAAATTACCTTTTTTGGTAACATGCAAGAGAATAATTGTATCCTTTGCTTGAACAGTATGCAAGAGTGCCCATTCTAGAGCATTTATAGCTTCCAGGCTCGAATCGACCACAACCATCACTCTATTTCCACATTCAAATTCGGAATTCGAGAAATAATTATTGAAATTCAATTCATTGACTTCACTAGAAGCATCGGATTTCTCTTGACTCTCGATAAAACTTGCGCTCTTCTTATACATCACAGATGGCGAACGGACACGAACACGGATCGCAGCTCCACTCATCCACAATCCTGGCATTCTTGTATTGATTTCAGACAACAATCTCGATGAATTTGTGTGTCTATGAAATGAACTGGTGGGTTTTTGGGAGAGAAGAAATTTATAGTGTGCGGTTTGTGGAGGACATGTACTGGATTTGTCTACTATTTTTAATAATGTTTCGTTGGACATTTGATAAGATCATGGGTATCATTTTCTTCGTTTTTTTGTCTTTATTCTATATTTTTCTAATGTGGGGTTTCTTGAACGTGACTACCATAACCCTAAATGACTTGTATTTAGACGGCTGGTTGGATTAAATATTGCCATACTAGAGTAAACTAAGTTAACATAGTCGAGTTTTCCAAGCCCCTGTTTGACAATCATTACTTGAGTAAAATGAAGTTTTTGAATAGTGATTTTTTGGAGAATGCGTAGTTAAAAAGTATAAAAAAGTGTTGAGCTTACGTGCATAATTTTTTATTATGCGAATGTGTGGTTTAAAATGAGTACGTTGGGAAAAAAAATTTGAAATGGTTGTCAAAATAGGGACTACATATGCCAATTGGTAGATTCTATAATATTATATGTCAAACCTTAACTGCAGAGGCGTCGGCAGACAAAACTGTGTAAAGCATTAAATGTTTCCTTGAGAAAAGTCACAATCTAGTTGACAGGCAGAATTCCTTGATTCCTCTTCATGACTTGCTTGTATACATACGTCTATTTTGTAGAAATTTGTTACATCCTCTTGTAGTTTTGTGTTCCCAATTTTGTTGGAGAGAAGGATAGCATTAGCCATAGGTAGAAGGTCCCTATTCTTATTTAATATGTACAAATAGAGATGTCAATATGACTTGTCAGGTCGTATGACTCGTAACTCGATTCGGGAAAAGCTCTAGTCGGACTGGCTTGTGGCTCGAGCAGAGCCTCATTTTGGGACATTGGCTCGAGCCTGAGCTAGCCCGTGGCTCGTCACTAGGCTGTGTTTTCAGCCCGTGTTGAGCATCGAGTCTTAAAATAAATAAAAAAAAAAAATACAGCTGTCGGCAGGCAGCTGTCATCAGTCACAGCTGCCTGCGTAAATGCAAGCAGCTGTTTTTTATTTTTATTTTTGAAGTTTTTTAAATTTTAATTGTATTTTTATATATTAATATTTAGTTATTATTTATAATACGTATAAATTGAACAAATTTTAAATTAATTAATTTTTTTAGATTTATAATGAATTTTAAAAAAAATCGAGTCGGATTGGCTCAAGCGGGTCAAGTCTAAATTTTTTGGTCGAGTTTTTGCTCGATTCAGGCCAAAAAAAGCCCGAACCATTTTACTTGAGTCGAGTCCAAGTTTCGAGTTTCGGCTCGTGGCTTGACTCAGCTCGTTGACAACCCTATGCACAGAAAATGACTGTCTAGAATACTCATCTTCTTTCTTAAAAAGTTTGTGAAACATCTTTTATCTATTGTGAAAGAATCTTCTACAAGCAATTGCATGTTTGGGACAAAAGGCTAGGAATGAATGAGGAACGTAGGAGCAATTTTGTATAAGATTTGTTCTTGTAGAAATCATGTATATAAATCTCATTTTTCTCAAATTCATTTCAACTACATATTTCATAGGATTCAAAATTTTATCAACTTTTTAGTCACACATTTTATCAACTTCCATCAAAATCTACTAAAAAATTATTTTTTATCAAAACAAAATAAGGGCTAAATAAAATGAAACTCATGGTTAATCCTATTTGACGGCCACTCTTTTGTGTTTTTTGGGAAGAATGAGTTTTGGAGTAGTAATATTTTGAAAAATGTGTGTTTAAAAAGTAGGAAAAAAGTTTGGGATTACGTGAAAAATATTTTATTGTGAAAATGTGGAGTGAAAACTGAGTATGAGAAATAAAAAAAAGTTTTGAAAAAAATGGTTACCAAGCAGGGTATCACTGAGTTTTCATGGTTTCAATAAGATAAAAGTTTCAGCAATTGTTTTAGTGTACGTAGAACGTGTTTTTATTCTTAAAGAATATAACCTCAAAATCACTCTTCAACTAAATTGTGTCCTGTAAGTGTTAATTTCACTAATGGTCATTGAAGTACGTGTGAAATTTCAGAATGATTATTGAAGTATTTATCTTACTCATATGGTCACTAAAGTTAATAATAGTTTCACCGATGTTGACTTGATTTCACTATTGCTCACTCATATTTACGTTACTTTTAGAGGAGATTCCATCGAGGTTTCTTAACTTTTCTAAAATGTGCTGACTTTCTATTAACATAACACAAACAAGGTCCTTGAAGAGTAAATCCTACTAAACAAACGTCAAATTGGCATGTGCAATGCGCAAGTCTAACATTGTAAACGGAAAACAAATCGATACTTAATTTTAATTAAAACAAGTAAAGTAAATAGATAAAAATTTAAAACAAAGAAAACTCTTCGGCTTCCCCAATATCCACACGCTACAATGACAACTACACAAGGAAATTAACGTATTTGTGACATGTTGGGGAGGGCAATGATTGTCTATTATTTTTTGGGAGACTTATAGACTCTATTTGATAATTACGTTTTTCTTTTGTTTTATGCTAACCTATAAACAAAAGAATATAAGTCATTTGTCATTTAATTCCTAACATTTAGTCCCATTTGGTAGAGATTAAAATCAGATTTTTAGTAAATTTTGATAAAAGTTGATAAAATACGTGATTGAAAAGTTGTGGGTCCCATAAAATGTGTGATAAAAATTAATTGTTGACTTTGACTTGAAATTTTAATTGAATTTTGTCCAAACCAAACAGGTGCTTAATTAGATAGACTCCAACTACAATGACCTCTCTATTATATTAATGAAAAGTTGAGGAAATGTGATGTCAAGACTTGAATGTTAAGAAGATATTTGCAAAAAAATTTGTTACAATTTTCCCTTACTTTTACTAGTCGATTGACCATAAGTGAAATCGTTATTGGCTTTAATGACAATATGAATAAGAAACATACTTGAACGATAATTTTAAAATTTCCAGTGTCTTTCAGTGACCATTAGTAAAATTAACGAGTTTTGTAATCAAACTTGATGAAAAAAATAGTATAGAATTGAGGCAAAATAACTTAATGAACATGAAATTACACAAAAGAAAGAGAACAAATGAAATTTCATCATTAAAAATGCAACCTCAAATGCACTAAATAGGTTTGAACGTGTTATTTGTCAAAAAGTTGTATCCTTTCCGAAGGTAATAATGTTTTGTTTTAAGTTCAAAGATAAAATTATTAGGTGAAACGTTTTTCTATGGACACACATAGCTATTAAACGAATTTAAATTTCAATATATTTGGCTATTTTTATGAAAAATGATACATCATCAGAATGACTAAAGAGTCACGCGTCTAAAAGTAAAGTAGTGTATGAAAAATTTTTAGACGAGGAAGTTTAATATAAAGTATTTAGACTCGAAAATGAAAAGTTAAATAAATTTCTCTTGGCCGACGGGAAATCCTATGGTATTTGACATTATAACATATTTTAACTATTATAGAAATTTCACTAAGATACATCTATTATAATATAGAGATACAAAAAAAGGGACAACTAATAGATGGTTCTAATGGAATCCAATCAAGAGGCCCCACACAAAAGTTGGTATGGCTAGATCCACGCCATGATTGACGCAGCTTAATTGATAATGAAGAACTTCAAAATGTATCGATCGTTCGAGTTCGAGTTCGAGTTCATAAAAAATATCAATATTAGTAGATATGTAGGATAGTTCGACACTCAGAGTGAAAGACGGTTCGAGTCTAAGGACATATTCGGTAGATATTAAAATCGGATTAAAATTGAAAAATTAGTCTTTTTTTTTTATTAGATGAAGGGGACCCAATAAGTCAATATTTTAATTTTAATTTGATTTTAATCTTTACCAAACAAACACTAACTCAATTGAGATTTTAATTTTAATTTTTCTAAATTTAGGTGTCCTCAATTGGGATTTTAACGAACTTTAATGAAATCTATTAAAATCAGTGTCCACAATTGAGATTTTAATGAAATCTTTTAAAATTGAGATATTCTCATTAGTTAGTGAATTTATAAAGATTCCACCAATAGAGGGATTTTAAAAGACTTTGATGGATTTCAAGTTTAAAAATACATATAATCAAATATTTTGAAATTTTACGATATTTGATGAAATTCTTATGAATTTGTGAAAATTTATCCAAATCTAAAAAATTCATTAGGATTTATAATGTTTTAAAATCCATCACAATCTTAGTTGAAGACACATCGTTACACTATTTAAACCCACAATAAGTTTGAATCGGACCCGGTAACAGGTGGAGTGGGTCGGCTCCCAGTAGGAATATTTTTACGAAGATTTTCTTTTCCTATTGTTTCCATTAGTTTCCTCAACCAAGTCAATGTTTATGAATCGATAGTTCATTACTTAAAAGCAAGGTTCTAAAATTCATTTACTTACTTTAAATTACATATTATCTCAATAAAATAATTTTACACGTAATCTCAAAATTTTTACCTATTTTTTAGCCACACATCCTCTAAAAAAATCACTATCACAAAATCTATTTTCTCTAAAACTGAGACTCAAACTAGGGCTAGAAGGCATAAGGTCTAGATGCCAAGTCTCAAACTTTACGAACCTAGACATAATAGGACTTGTCCTATTTTAAATATTATTTTAATTATTGACATACCTTGAAAAAAATGACCGTCGATCGCTTGAACATAATTTTTCCGAATTTTTCTTTCTTAATCGTTTTGGAAAATGTAGGCTTTCGAATGATTTTTTTACTTTATTTTTCAAGGTAAGTAATCTTGTAATGAGTTTGAATATCAAGTTGAAATATTTATCATTTCGAAAAATAATTTTTATACAAGTGTTTTTATAAAATAATATTTTCGTGCATAAAATGATTTTTTAGTTTTTATCATTCATTGCTAAATATCAAACTATTAGTACATTTATATTTGGCTAAGAAGTCTAGTATTTGATTTGTTTCGAAATTTGTCTCTTAGACTT